GTTTTCTTGTACTTTTAAGCCACTCAGATACCCTACGGGCTCGGAAAGTGCAACGAAACCATCAAATTTTAGCTAGAAACTGTATTTTTGTCTCTTTTTATTGAACACACTTCAAGAAAACACTTCAAAAGTGAAGTTTCTGAAGAATTTTAACAGTTTTCTTGTATCTACGAACACCAGAATGCATAAAATTGACCTAAACGTCTCCTTTTCCTATTCTGAGTCGATTCTGCATGCTTTAAGTGTGTTTGGTGGCTCAGAACCATCAAAAAACGTTGAAATATACTTCAAATTCAATAAAAATCGACAAAAATACAGTTTCTAGCTAAAATTTGATGGTTTCGTTGCACTTTCCGAGCCCGTAGGGTATCTGAGTGGCTTAAAAGTACAAGAAAACACTTCAAAAGTGACGTTTCTGAAGAATTTTAACAGTCTTCTTGTATCTACGAACGCCAGAATGCATAAAATTGACCTAAACATCTCATTTTCCTATTCTGAGTCGATTCTGCATGCTTTAAGTGTGTTTGGTGGCTCAGGACCATCAAAAAACGTTGAAATATAGTTCAAATTCAATAAAAATCGACAAAAATACAGTTTCTAGCTAAAATTTGATGGTTTCGTTGCACTTTCCGAGCCCGTAGGGTATCTGAGTGGCTTAAAAGTACAAGAAAACACTTCAAAAGTGACGTTTCTGTAGAATTTTAACAGTTTTCTTGTATCTACGAACGCCAGAATGCATAAAATTGACCTAAACGTCTCCTTTTCCTATTCTGAGTCGATTCTGCATGCTTTAAGTGTGTTTGGTGGCTCAGAACCATCAAAAAACGTTGAAATATAGTTCAAATTCAATAAAAATCGACAAAAATACAGTTTCTAGCTAAAATTTGATGGTTTCGTTGCACTTTCCGAGCCCGTAGGGTATCTGAGTGGCTTAAAAGTACAAGAAAACACTTCAAAAGTGACGTTTCTGAAGAATTTTAACAGTTTTCTTGTATCTACGAACGCCAGAATGCATAAAATTGACCTAAACGTCTCCTTTTCCTATTCTGAGTCGATTCTGCATGCTTTAAGTGTGTTTGGTGGCTCAGAACCATCAAAAAACGTTGAAATATAGTTCAAATTCAATAAAAATCGACAAAAATACAGTTTCTAGCTAAAATTTGATGGTTTCGTTGCACTTTCCGAGCCCGTTGGGTATCTGAGTGGCTTAAAAGTACAAGAAAACACTTCAAAAGTGACGTTTCTGAAGAATTTTAACAGTTTTCTTGTATCTACGAACGCCAGAATGCATAAAATTGACCTAAACGTCTCCTTTTCCTATTCTGAGTCGATTCTGCATGCTTTAAGTGTGTTTGGTGGCCGGTAACCATCAAAAAACATTGAAATATAGTTCAAATTCAATAAAAATCGACAAAAATACAGTTTCTAGCTAAAATTTGATGGTTTCGTTGCAATTTCCGAGCCCGTTAGGTTTCTGAGTGGCTTAAAAGTACAAGAAAACACTTCAAAAGTGACGTTTCTGAAGAATTTTAACAGTTTTCTTGTATCTACGAACGCCAGAATGCATAAATTTGACCTAAACGTCTCCTTTTCCTATTCTGAGTCGATTCTGCATGCTTTAAGTGTGTTTGGTGGCTCAGAACCATCAAAAAACGTTGAAATATAGTTCAAATTCAATAAAAATCGACAAAAATACAGTTTCTAGCTAAAATTTGATGGTTTCGTTGCACTTTCCGAGCCCGTTGGGTATCTGAGTGGCTTAAAAGTACAAGAAAACACTTCAAAAGTGACGTTTCTGAAGAATTTTAACAGTTTTCTTGTATCTACGAACGCCAGAATGCATAAAATTGACCTAAACGTCTCCTTTTCCTATTCTGAGTCGATTCTGCATGCTTTAAGTGTGTTTGGTGGCCGGTAACCATCAAAAAACATTGAAATATAGTTCAAATTCAATAAAAATCGACAAAAATACAGTTTCTAGCTAAAATTTGATGGTTTCGTTGCAATTTCCGAGCCCGTAGGGTATCTGAGTGGCTTAAAAGTACAAGAAAACACTTCAAAAGTGACGTTTCTGAAGAATTTTAACAGTTTTCTTGTATCTACGAACGCCAGAATGCATAAATTTGACCTAAACGTCTCCTTTTCCTATTCTGAGTCGATTCTGCATGCTTTAAGTGTGTTTGGTGGCTCAGAACCATCAAAAAACGTTGAAATATAGTTCAAATTCAATAAAAATCGACAAAAATACAGTTTCTAGCTAAAATTTGATGGTTTCGTTGCACTTTCCGAGCCCGTTGGGTATCTGAGTGGCTTAAAAGTACAAGAAAACACTTCAAAAGTGACGTTTCTGAAGAATTTTAACAGTTTTCTTGTATCTACGAACGCCAGAATGCATAAAATTGACCTAAACGTCTCCTTTTCCTATTCTGAGTCGATTCTGCATGCTTTAAGTGTGTTTGGTGGCCGGTAACCATCAAAAAACATTGAAATATAGTTCAAATTCAATAAAAATCGACAAAAATACAGTTTCTAGCTAAAATTTGATGGTTTCGTTGCAATTTCCGAGCCCGTAGGGTATCTGAGTGGCTTAAAAGTACAAGAAAACACTTCAAAAGTGACGTTTCTGAAGAATTTTAACAGTTTTCTTGTATCTACGAACGCCAGAATGCATAAAATTGACCTAAACGTCTCCTTTTCCTATTCTGAGACGATTCTGCATGCTTTAAGTGTGTTTGGTGGCTCAGAACCATCAAAAAACGTTGAAATATAGTTCAAATTCAATAAAAATCGACAAAAATACAGTTTCTAGCTAAAATTTGATGGTTTCGTTGCACTTTCCGAGCCCGTTGGGTATCTGAGTGGCTTAAAAGTACAAGAAAACACTTCAAAAGTGACGTTTCTGAAGAATTTTAACAGTTTTCTTGTATCTACGAACGCCAGAATGCATAAAATTGACCTAAACGTCTCCTTTTCCTATTCTGAGTCGATTCTGCATGCTTTAAGTGTGTTTGGTGGCTCAGAACAATCAAAAAACGTTGAAATATAGTTCAAATTCAATAAAAATCGACAAAAATACAGTTTCTAGCTAAAATTTGATGGTTTCGTTGCACTTTCCGAGCCCGTAGGGTATCTGAGTGGCTTAAAAGTACAAGAAAACACTTCAAAAGTGACGTTTCTGAAGAATTTTAACAGTTTTCTTGTATCTACGAACGCCAGAATGCATAAAATTAACCTAAACGTCTCCTTTTCCTATTCTGAGTCGATTCTGCATGCTTTAAGTGTGTTTGGTGGCTCAGAACCATCAAAAAACGTTGAAATATAGTTCAAATTCAATAAAAATCGACAAAAATACAGTTTCTAGCTAAAATTTGATGGTTTCGTTGCACTTTCCGAGCCCGTAGGGTATCTGAGTGGCTTAAAAGTACAAGAAAACACTTCAAAAGTGACGTTTCTGAAGAATTTTAACAGTTTTCTTGTATCTACGAACGCCAGAATGCATAAAATTGACCTAAACGTCTCCTTTTCCTATTCTGAGTCGATTCTGCATGCTTTAAGTGTGTTTGGTGGCTCAGAACCATCAAAAAACGTTGAAATATAGTTCAAATTCAATAAAAATCGACAAAAATACAGTTTCTAGCTAAAATTTGATGGTTTCGTTGCACTTTCCGAGCCCGTAGGGTATCTGAGTGGCTTAAAAGTACAAGAAAACACTTCAAAAGTGACGTTTCTGAAGAATTTTAACAGTTTTCTTGTATCTACGAACGCCAGAATGCATAAAATTTACCTAAACGTCTCCTTTTCCTATTCTGAGTCGATTCTGCATGCTTTAAGTGTGTTTGGTGGCTCAGAAACATCAAAAAACGTTGATATATAGTTCAAATTCAATTAAAATCGACAAAAATACAGTTTCTAGCTAAAATTTGATGGTTTCGTTGCACTTTCCGAGCCCGTAGGGTATCTGAGTGGCTTAAAAGTACAAGAAAACACTTCAAAAGTGACGTTTCTGAAGAATTTTAACAGTTTTCTTGTATCTACAAACGCCAGAATGCATACAATTGACCTAAACGTCTCCTTTTCCTATTCTGAGTCGATTCTGCATGCTTTAAGTGTGTTTGGTGGCTCAGAGCCATCAAAAAACATTGAAATATAGTTCAAATTCAATAAAAATCGACAAAAATACAGTTTCTAGCTAAAATTTGATGGTTTCGTTGCACTTTCCGAGCCCGTAGGGTATCTGAGTGGCTTAAAAGTACAAGAAAACACTTCAAAAGTGACGTTTCTGAAGAATTTTAACAGTTTTCTTGTATCTACGAACGCCAGAATGCATAAAATTGACCTAAACGTCTCCTTTTCCTATTCTGAGTCGATTCTGCATGCTTTAAGTGTGTTTGGTGGCTCAGAACCATCAAAAAACGTTGAAATATAGTTCAAATTCAATAAAAATCGACAAAAATACAGTTTCTAGCTAAAATTTGATGGTTTCGTTGCACTTTCCGAGCCCGTAGGGTATCTGAGTGGCTTAAAAGTACAAGAAAACACTTCAAAAGTGACGTTTCTGAAGAATTTTAACAGTTTTCTTGTATCTACGAACGCCAGAATGCATAAAATTTACCTAAACGTCTCCTTTTCCTATTCTGAGTCAATTCTGCATGCTTTAAGTGTGTTTGGTGTTGAATTAAATAAGTTGAATAAACAATTAATTTCTTGATAGAGTTAAATCCTCAAACATGTGGTTTATTCTAGCACAAAAAACGTTATGGCGATTAGCCGCTAGGGTGCGGCGTAGGAGCAGGCGGCGGGAAGCCGAAATTTTAAATTTATTCTCTAAAGCTTGTGGTTGGATCTAGTCAAAGTAGCGGTACTACGATGTAATCTCGAAGAACGAGACTCGTAATATAACTGCCATCATACCATACAAGTATCATTGACAAAGTTCATAATAGGGTTTTGAGTAATAGAAGTTGCGTGAGTTAGCCGAAGCTAGAGAAATGAAAAGCATCTTTCTATGGGACAACAATATTTACTTTCACAAATTTGTTTACATTTTACTACATATTTCGTATTTTACAACATTTTAGAGGGCCAATTCCCTTAAAAAACAGCACAAAGTGACTACTAAAATCACCGTAACCATAGCGCTAATCTCAGCGATATTCTTCCCATCATTTTTCATCTGCACCTTGGATTTCTTAACAGCCGAACCAATCTTGCGCACTGCAACAAATAAAAGAAGGTAATTAACGGCGACACAAAGAGGCTGCTAAAAAGTATCGATTTTGCTAAATATTTCCAGAGCGGTTCATTAGAACTCATTGAAATTTGGCACACAAGTACAGGTATTTGAACTTTGAACTCTATCTTTTGAAAGATTATTATTCAAATTTCCATCAACATTTGTTTTGGAAATACAAAGCCAACTTCATTTTCCTTAAATAGCACGAGAGGTCAAATTTAATATTTTTATCTGCATTCAGTAATGTTTTTCTTTATTTGCACTACAAGATAAAAAATTCAAAATTGTATTATTTTCATGTTTTTTTTTTATTTTTTAGTGCAACTGAAGATAGGCAAGCAGAAAAAAATGCTTTTTTTTTTAAATATTAAATTTGACCTGGTGCCATTTAAAAAAAAATCAAGTTCTCATTGCATCTCCAAAACAAAATAATGTTGAAGTTTAGAGTCTAAATACTTTTAGCAAATTTAAATATCCATACTTTTTAGCAATCTTGTAAAAGTGCTGGAGACGTTTAAACGTTTGTTATTTTCTTATCTTAAGGTTATTACAATTTTTCCGTTATTTGCACACGAGAAATAAAAATACTACAAATAGGGCGAATGTTAATATTCACATAAAAGTCGGAAACTTTTTGTCGGGTTTTTAAATTACCGTACCTAATTTTACTTACGTTCTCTCTTAATCTTCTTGTCTACTCTCATTTTTCTAGGAAATTCTTTATTGCCCCTAGAAGAAAGTAGTTATAACAAAAAGGAGCTACACTGATTTTTCGCACAGGCTACAAAATTGTTAAAGATACAAAAGTACTTTAATACAAGGAACGGCGAAATCATGAAATCTATTGTTCTATGCTTTATCGTTTTGATAATACATACGATAACATGTTTTTGAAGCACAAAAACCCGTTAACTACAATTGTAAAATATATTAGACCCAAAAAATGTTATCGTTATCAATTATCAATAAATTCGTTGCGTTTTGCGAACTGGTTTAATCAGAAACATTTGCGCATAATTTATAGCATTTTTAGTTTTCGAGGGTAAACTAAGGAAGTATTGTAATCAAGTCCATAAGGCGACTTGCTACGTTCATGTTTCATGTCCCCTAGAGTACAAAAAAGTGATTCTCGTTACCGTCTGTTAATTAGAGCGAAATAATTACTGAAAGTAGCGGACCGTTTGTTGCCAAATTTTGTGTGTATGTTACGAATTTCAGATGGACGGTAAAAGGCTAACCAAAATTTGCCTAATCACCCCCACCAACAATTTGATGACGTCCGCTCTAATATACAGGGTGACTGCGAAATATGTGCAAATATTTTAACCACGGCATCCCCCACCCAAGTAGAGCCGAAATATAGAAAAAACAAATTAAAAATCGAATGGGGCAAAACCCCCATGAACCACCCTCGACACGAAGGCACTGAGCCACCTTGTAAACAGAGTTGGAAAAACGTTCGACTAAAAACGACCCAAACACTTTCAGTTTCAATTAAAAGTAAAACCGACTTTTTGCTGCTTATCATTCGTTCATTCATTTACTCATTCATCGTTAAAGGTCAGTGTGAAAGTTTTTTGTAATTTTGATTCTGACGGATGTTTGGTCCTTGTCACAACAATTTTACATTGTTTATTGAAACAGAAATAAGAGCAACTTAGAATGCTACTACCTTTTTACAAGAAATGTTGAAAATGTTGTTCTTGACTAGCAATACAGGCGTCAGAGCGTCGCAAGAGGTTTGTTGATAGGCAAAAAAACACCGGAGTAGCGGCTGCCACTTTCACTTGTTGAAGCTCTTCGATAATTTCTGGACACTGTTGATTTCCACAAACGAATTGTTTCATCCAACCAATACACCTTTCTCGAAAACCGTCTCTTGAAATCGTACTTGTTGACGACTATGTGGAGTTCCATCGGACAAAAAGTGAGTTACACAACGTGGACAATCAGTGGACTCCAAACCGTGCACTTTGTCAACATGGTATGGATGTGGCCGTGTTCTTTTAATGTCGGATGCACTACAAACTGCGAAAATCCAAATTCTCCTTTCTGCCCCATCACGACCACGATCGTAAATTTGAGGTTGAAGGTAACATGATCTCGGAGATGCTGTACCACCATATCGACACATAATGCATTGGAAAACGGGACCATACACCGATTTCAACGACCGCTCGATAATGACTGGCCCTTTTCGTGTTTTTCACGTTGGGATTAAAAAAGTGCCTGATAAAGTTACTTTTTTGGTTCTTACTCCGAGTCCCCTACCCATTCATTGCAGTAATTATGTAGGTCACGAAACATTACCAGCGGCGCGTATAACAATTTACATTGAATTTCAAATAATTTTTTCTAGACACTGCTACCACTTAGGACCGTGAATTTTTGCCAGTGACATAATGATATTGTGAGCTATTGCCCATTTTTTTTTGCATGTATTTCGCAGTCAGCCTGTATATAATTCTATTTTGTTAATTATTATTGTAATTTTTATTATTCAAGATTTCTCTCCCCTCCCATCCAATGATATACCTGAGTCCTTACTAGAATGCTGGTGACCTCATCACAAAACTTTGTAATGAAAACTTTAAGAAGTTGCTGTCCAAATTGTTAGGTATTGCAAAGTTTTTTAAAAATGAACATTGGTTAAACATACAAAAAATATATTCATAATTAGGCTTCGGATCTTAGGTTTTTGTCTTTTTATATCTACTTCAGGCATGGCAGCGAAATTATTAGATTATATTTATCTGAATTAAAAAAATTCTGTTTATTTAACGCCCATTTATTACTACCTAAAATGCCTAATTTACCGTTAGAAGCCTAAAGTGTTAATTAAACGACCTAATTGTAAATTTTAAAAGGCTTAAAATAGGACTCCACGACCAACGAAGCGGACGTGCTTGTACAATAGAGATTTTCCGTGAATTCATTGCTTTGGCTGGCAGATTGTTTAAAAATGGGTTGTGAACAACGCCCTTGAGCTTAATGGTACGGGTTGGTGTCGTCAACTGACAACGCTGGCCTGCATTTCATTTAGATTATAGCCGGAAGGAGGTGAATCTCTGAAAAAGCATTTTATTTTAGAAGTTTATTGTTAGTGATACTGAGTGTCTTTGCGTGTTAGTAAGTGTGCTGGAACCGGTTTTGATTTTTGTGCATACAGTAAAGAATCCTCAAAATGCCTAAGGTAAAATCATCCATGAAAGATAAAATCAAATTATGGTTAGGGAATAATTTGGACAATAATTTTCAATTTTCTTCAAAGACAATGAGTTATTCTGCAAAGTGTGTGGAAAAATACTGAAGCTTGAATTATGTTCACATTTTTGTTTCCTAGTTTAAGTGCGAAAAAAAATCACACTTCGAACAACACTGCAGTGGCGATCCACATAAAAAGAACAAGAATAAATTCAGTAAACAGACTTTATTAAACATTAGTTCCGACAATGATTTTACGCAATTTTGCACCGATTTATGTAGGGTATTTACCGCAGCAAATATTCCATGGAATAAAGTTAGTTGTCCTGAGTTTAAAAATTTTATGTATAAATATACAGGAAGGCATAAAAACTTTTTAACATAAATTTTATAATTTACAGGTAATTAAACAAATTATAAATTCTATTGGCAATAATGATATATGGATTAGCGTCGATGAGACGACGGACAGATTAGGAAGATACATAGCCCATTTAGTAATTGGAAAGTTATCTTCTGAAGAAGCTGGCCGTCCATTTCTGCTAGCTTTGAAGCAGCTTGATAAAACTAATAGCAACACAATCTCGAGACTTATAAACGAATCCTTGGGTGTGCTATTGATAATTTTAAGCATTGAATTTATTATAATTTATTTAATTGTTAATTTGTAGCTTAATTTTGTGGCCAAAATGAACTGCACACAAAAAAGTTAAATGGTTTGTATCAGATGGTGCTTCATACACGATCAAAACTGATACTAATTTGAACGTGATTTATGAAAATATAACACACTTAACATGTATGGTACATGGGTTACATTTAGTGTCTGAAACAATTAGACTGAATTATCCAGATGTCAATGGGATAATTAGCAATGTTAAGAAAATATTTTTAAAAGCACCAATAAAAGTAGAGTTTTATAAAAACAGTTTACCAAATACACCTCTCCCACCTGAACCTCTATTAACCAGGTGGGGCACTTGGATTCAAGCAACATTGTTTTATGCAGAACACTTTGATGTTTTAAAACAAGTCAGTAAATATATAATGGTTTTTTACTATCATTCTTATATTGAATATTTTTAGGTTGTAATGTCATTTAAAGCCACAGATGCTCAAAGCATTAAAAAAGCTCAAGAATTCCTGAATAAAGCAAACTCTTGTACATTAAAACTCACTTTAAAATTATTGCTGATACAATAGAACAATTAGAAACTATAGGTTTAATATTAAACCAAAGTATGGAAATTGTGAAAAAAGTGTATACATCTTTAAAAAACACACCAGGAAACGTGGGGGGAAATGGTATTCCAAAAATTATGTTCTCTATTAAAAAAGAATCCAGGATACGATTTTATATGTTCAGTAAATAACGTAATTTGCGGTAATGGAAATGCTACCAACAATACATACATAAATGAAAACGTAGATTGTTCAATATTTTTGCACCCATCACTTCTTGTGATGTGAAACGCACGTTTTCAAAACTTAAAAGTGTTTTAAGCTATCAAAGGTGTAAATTTATAATCAAAAGTTTAGAAAAATATATAGTTTGCTTTTTTAACTCATTTTAAATACCAGAATTAATATTTTATTTTTTGTTAAAGACGACTTGCTTTAATTTGATCACCATTTTTTCCGAAGTCTATTCATAATTGAAAGCTATTCTAATATCCAAGAGGAAGAATGGATCTATTCTATACCACCTATTTTTCAAGATATTCGTATTCAGTTTTTGGATGGTCTTGTCAATGAAAATTTTTTTTTTCAAACTAGAGAACGGTGGGCCAAAAAGTGTTAGAACTGAAGAACAAATGTTGGAATATAAACCCAGTTTATCCCTAAGAAAAACGATGGAAGTGTGGAGTGCCAGCAATCCACACCAGATTCGTGAAGTGACCTTACATCCCATTAAAGTATGTGTTTGAGTTGCATTTTCAAGGAGTGTCTAATCCATTTTTTTTGAGAGGTTGGTGACAGAGATGGGAAGATAGCATAACTACATTCTCGAAATCTTCATCAATGAACTCGACTATTATGAATTATTACGGGGATATTTCCAACAAGACAGTGCTACAGCACATATGGACTCTCCAATACTCGAGATTTTACGATGATACGAGTAGCTAAATTAGTGAAGTGTGTGGTCCCCAAGATCATCTGATTTTAAAGTATTTCTAAAGATATTTGGAAACAGAGTTAATCACTTTATGAGTGTCATTAGTCCCTGGTCAACTTTCAACTGCCTGCTATTGAGCTTGATCCTCATAAAAGTATCCGAGTACAATACCGCATGCAATGAAGTGGGGGCATTTATATCCCGCTGAGAGTGCAATAAAAGTATTCAACTCTGTTTCCAAATATTTTTAGAAACACTTTGCACGTTCCTATTTATTCTTTTAACAGACACCATCTTCAGAAAACCAGTTCACATTATCAATGGTCTAAAACGACGAATTAGACGGGAATCAAAATAATTTTTCCTGAAATGTTAAAGCATTGAGACTGATAAAACTTGCAACTGTGTCGTAATATCTTATCTTTGACAAATAAAATGAACGAGTTAATACTTTTCGTGTCAGTAACATGCTAACTATGGGTGTGTGGCATATAATTTTGACTGTGGTGTTAACTTTCAAACAGGCATTGGCTTTACCAAATCCAGTGCAGATCAACGAATTGCAAGGTAAAAATTGAACTTTAGCATATACAAAAATAAATAATAAAAGAAGGAAATGCACTCATTATATAATTTAAATCTTTATCTATAAGTGTTCACGAATTAGTAATAGTTTACATAGCAACTAAAATCTATGTTACCAAGGAACACCTAGTATTATTTACTGATCGCATGTGATATCATCGATAATGTTTTATTTTCGCGAAAAATTTCAAAACTTGTATCGATTACGAAACTATGGAAAAAAATCAGTAACCCACTTATATGTGTTTAGTCGTTTAGTTGCTGGAAACATAATTTTAATTTTATTATTTTCAGATGGACACGTATATCAAGGTAGCGACATTGAAAGCGAAGAAATGAATTTGAATATTCTCATATGTTCATTTAACCGTTTAAACTTCCAAATAGTCAACCAAAACGGATATTCTCGCAAATATATTGACAAAATTAAAGAAAACAATAGTTGTCAAGTTTACAAAATTTCATCATCTGATAACGCCGTCGTCATTTCGAGAAATGATACAGTTTTAAAGAAGTTTAAACGGTCTACTATGAAAAGATTTTCCATCAAGAGTTATTCAACCGATACAGTTTGGACGATTTTAAGTTGTAAGTTGTTTTTCTTTATTTTTTTTTTTTTCAAAATGTTTGCTTTGTTGGTTCGAGACGACTTAATAAAACTATTTTTTTAGTGTGTTCGGATAATTTGGGCAGGAAACGTCTATGCAGGGTTAATTGTCCACCAGGTGTTTGCAAAGGTAAGATTACAACAGAATAATTATGTCATTTAAAGAGAAAATACGAGAAATTATAATGTGTAAGTAACTAATGTAACAATTATTTAGTCGTTTTTATCCTAGAGCGTCATAAACAAATTTAATGTAAACTGTAGTTCACAGATTCATTGACCTACTACTTTATATTTCTATTGTTTCAGATATGGGTAGCAGTAAAAATTTAGACAAACCTATTCATAATGAGACAACAACTTTCGGTATTTCCAAAAAAATATATTCATTCCAGTCCAGTATAGCAAGCTTATTGCACCCAGGTATGTACTAACTGCGTTTATAATTTTTTTCAAACTCAAGTGAAACATGTCGATCAAAGTAAACATATAGGTACAAGACATTTTGAGAAAATCGACAAAGAATCAGACTTGTGTTTTTCACATTGTTTGTTTAGACCAACAGCCTCAATAATTTTGTTCGACTATATTACAAAACTGATTTTTTTTTCAGAAAACACAAATAGCAACATTGGTCTGTATACGGCAATGGGTTTAATAATTTTTGTTGCCGGTATTCTAGGATGTCTTGTTTTTAATTGTATAAGTGACAAAATAAAGAAAGCTCAAAGAGACGAAGAAAATGTGAGAATGCTAGAGTAATACGTAACCTTAAAATGTGCTGAAAGTAATTGCAAATTTATTTTTTGATTAGGTGGTACTAACTGTAAAATTATTATCATTATTCCCGACTCACTTAATTTTGGCAATTCAAAACTAAATTATTCATAATGCGTTTATTAATTTAATATTTCAGAAAAGTTTTTGGTACATCATTCGGAACATATACATTAACATTTTAAGGATACGGTTTTTTACCATAGTTAGCCTGTGTTATTATCTATTAGGTATAATTAGTATTGAAAAAAAAAAAGATTATCAGAGTGTTTCTCTTGAATTTATATAAAAGTTTCAAATTTTTCACTAAATTCGTGTCAAAAAAATTACAGATTTTTTAATTAGTTATAATTATTATCATTGTCACACTTGCATAAATAGATATTTGTATATCTTTGGCGCTAAATATTAACAAAACAAACCAAATGTGTTAAACATAATCCGCAAAATTTCTTTAATTTATTTCAGGTAAATAGTGTTTGATTTACATTTTTTTATTAATTTATTATTTTCGAGTCAACTTAAAATAAAAAGAAAAAAACAACATATTCTACTCGTTTAGATAAAACACTTTGACAATCCGGGATTTTATCGTTTTAGATTTTAAGTAGGTATAAATAATACTAATAATCTAGTCGTTAGAAAAGCAAAAAAAAAAAATAAAAAATTTCAAAAACTTTAGCCAAGGTAGGTACCGTTGATATATACATATTTTGACGGAGTTCATTGGCTAATTTCGAGGTATTCAAAAATATCAAGTCTTTAATGAAATATAGTACATATTTGGGTAAACTATTTACACTACATAAGCATTCCATATGTGATCATAAAAACAGACATTTGGTTAAATTATTAAAAAAAAAAAAAATTCAACGGCTATATTATTATATGATTTTAAGACTGTTGCTCATATAACGTAATCCTTGGTGTTAAGCTAGTTTGAATACTATAACGTTTATTACTTCTTGACACCAAAAATACAAAAATACAAAAATAGGCAAGTCATGTGCGCTTTCAGCGTATGATTTACTCTCTTTACCCAAAAATATTTTTGATTGCATTTTTCAAAACATATTTCAAAATCCCCGACTTTAAACTTTACATTGTTATAGTACACCGAGTGAGAGAAGAAGATTTCTGTACTTTTGAATATCACTGATCACTAGACAGCGGATTTCTGTCGGGCTACGTCACGATATAGGTGGGGACGCGCTGCATCGCCGAGACTCAGTAGCGGGTGATAGGTAATCACCGAATTTAATTGTCACTTGATTCCATAAATACAAATAACGATTTATTAATCGAACGGCTAAGTAAATGAGAACTGGAATTAACAGCAGAGTGCAACGAAGCAGCGTTATTCTAATCTCAAATAAACGAAGTGCAGCCGGTAACTGCAATAAATTCCCATCCCGTACGAGCCGTACCGAGTTTGGCCTTGTCTAGCCCGACAGAAATCCGCTCTCTACTGATCACTGATCAGTAGGTATACAGAAAAATCACAGTACCTACTGTGAAATAAGTATCATCGGATTTCAAATGTGAAAAATGTTCTTCTCAGTTTGCGTGTAACAATATAAATACTCTGTCTATATGCAGAAACAAGTTTTACGTTTTTTGTGAAATAGTTGTAATACCACATAGATATCTTATGAGAAACTTGGGTTAAACTTCTTTATATACATTTTTTAATTTATCAATTTTTTTTTCATTTGTTTCAGTAATTTTTCTAGCTACAGATTTACGTGTAACTTTTAATACATTTGTTGTACATTCAACTTCTAGTAGGAACTGTGGATCTTTCTCATAAGATATTTTGTATTTTGTAGTAAGTATTTATGTTTTTTGTTTTGTTAAAGTGTGTTCGTTAATTAATTCCGCTATCCGCGATACAGTCATACAATAATTTTTAGATATTTTATCTCCAACCACTCATTAATTTAATGTAACACCCTGTAGATCTAATGTGGAGACCTCAAAAAAGTAATATATTTAGTGTTCGTAGAAAATGCAAACACTTTTTCGGTATAAGCATAATTTTAGCAGTTTAGATTAATTTTCACAATTTTTTTCTCATTAGACCTAATTTATTGCGTAATAGCGGAAAATAATATTGTAAATGAGTTTTTTGTGTTTTGGAGCGAAAACTATAAAATGATGACACTGTGTGTCAACAGCATTGTAATTAGGGATGTGCGAAATGATGAATTAAACTATAAATTGGAGTAATTGTAAGGAGAGGAACACAATGCGACTATAAGATGAAGTTTTCGGTTATGGCTCATTTAGACTTAACATGGCATGAATTTGAACACTGACACTATATTTAATTTTTATATAATAAAAATAAATATACCCTATTGTTAATTTACGACTGAAAAATGTGTAATTACTATAGCAGTATTTAGTGTATTAAGACTAGAATAACACTTATTTTATATATGAGAACTTTGATACAATAAACTGTATGAAGTACCTACTTTTTAATGATTTTTTTTATATTATAAATATCAAATACTGTTCTGTTTCTTCAATAAAATGTAAAATTTGATTTTGTGAATAATAAAAAAACCCAAAGCATTAGTTCAAAAAACTAAACACCTAATTCATGAATTTATGACATGCAAGGCACGTTGGAAGAGAGCCAGCTAGAGTTCACTAGGAGTCCCCAAGTTTATTTCAGACTTGTTTTGCTGTCTTAGAAGATATTTTTAATTTTCTAGCGATTAATAACTACGTGAACATTATTCTGCTTGGACATTTTAACGCAGATTTACTTGTAGATGATCATGATTCAAACTATTTGTTTGCATTAATAGAATAGGTATCAGGTAAAATGTTGCTAATTGCTCTTCCATGGATTTTATATCCTCTAACTCACATCATTAATTTGAACTAAGTCAAATTCCTAGCCAATGGAAATGTGCCATGGTAAAACAAATTGCAAAAAAAAAGTATTCCAACTTGTCTTAAAGATCTCAGACTAATCATCTTACTTATAGTACATTGCTGAAATTAGCAGAATCAGCCTTCTTGCAACAATTAAATATATTTATATCTCAGGCAAATATTATCCTTTCACGATTTTTATATAGTAAAGTAGGCGTTGATATTTTTTCTTTAAGTTGGAGAAACCGATTTGATGATTTAGTATTTTGTCTGTCAGTAGTCTGATTGACATTTGCTTTGAGCTGGATTGCCACTTTTCTACTTCATTTATTAGATCAGAATTATTAGTCGCATAATTTGTCATTGTGACAGATTCACAGATCATTGTTGCGATATTATGTAAAAAGAAAATGCCTAAAATAGTTTTACTGCAACAAAAAAATGCAATAAAAAGATGTTTTCTGCAGTTTCGAAAAGACAGGCCCGATCTTTCTTTCCAAGAAGTAACTATGAGTCTCTCGAACAAATTTTCTGTAATGTAAAAAAACTATGGTGAAAATTTTATCAACAGGGGACCAAAATTTAAAAACATCACAATCTGGCAAGCGAAAACCAACGGATTTATTTACAAATTATATGTTTCGGAAAGACCTGCAACCTGCAACGACAAATTTGGCAACTTAATGAGAAAAACTAATATTTCACTGTAGATACTCTTTTGGCATATTCTAGGGAACAGTTGGAATTTAAAAGGGGGCGAACCATATTATACAAAATTCTTAAGTCAATGGGTTATAAACACAGGAAACTAAATGGTCGCAAAATTCTATGTGAACAAAAACATGTCGTTGCAGCCAAAATTACTTTTTTGAGAACATATTTACAGTTTCTAAATTCTTGTGAAAATTTGACTTTCGTGTAGGGTAAATGTGTAGGGAAGCAATAGCAGAGGCGTGCGCCGCACGAGAGAAGACGATTCGCCGCGCAAAGAGCCAGCAAAAACATCGAAAATGGAAGAAAGCAAAGACAAGATCCGTTGATGGAAATGATAAAGCAATTAATGGAAGAAATGAAACAACTGAGAGAAGAAAATAGAGGGGTAAAAAAAGAATTACAGACAATAAATGGAAAACTGGAAAGAGAAAGAGAAGAATGGAAAGAAAAGGAGAGAACCTTCGAAGAAAAAATCAATAATTTAGAGAAGAAGTTGGAAAAAAAAAGAGAGGCAAGAAAGAAGAAACAATTTCATAATTACGGGCATGGAAATAAGGGAAAAACAGATGCAAAAGAAGTAGAGGAATTTTTGAAAAAAGAAATTGAGGTAGAAGTAAAAGTGTTGGAAATAATAATTGTAGGGAAAGAGGAAAGCAAGAAAATACTGGTTAAGACGCTTTGGGAGGAAAAACAAGAGGTCATGAAGAATAAAAATAAACTGACACGAAAGAGAATATATATTGATAATGATTGGACAGTACAAGAGCAAAAAATCCAAAAAGGAATTAGGGAGATAGCTAAAGAGGAAAGAAAAAAAGGGTACAAAACAAGGGTGGGATATAAGAAGCTGGAAGTAGGGGACAAAATGTATACATCGAATGAAAAAAGGAAAATTGGAAGAAACATTTCTCAATTCAAGTCAGCACTAACCGAAGAAAGAAACACAAAGGGGAGGGGTAGAAATGATGGGACAAATAATATTAATAATAATAATAATAAGAATTTAATGTCCAACGGGCAGAAACCCTAAAAGGAAAAAATAG